CCACCCCCCACCCCGCCCAGATGCTGTGCACCACTCACAGTTCAGTGAAAGGAACTGGTCAAATTCAAGGCTCTACAATTTATCCACACTTCTCCCCCTTCTTTTTGAGGAAATTATTTTTTGAAATCTTAATAACTTTTTTACTTTTCCATGGTCGTTGATATACAATATTACATTAGTTTCAAGAGGGCAACCTAGAGAGTAGACATTCGCACCCCTTACAAAGTGATCATACAGTAACCCCAGCGCCAAGCTGCTGCCATACACAGTTCTCACAGTATTGCTGACTACATCGTTCCCTACGCTGTACTTGTCCTCCCCATAACGATTCTGTAACCACCAATTTGTACTACTCAATCCCTTCTGCTTTTCCACCCACCCTCCAACCTCCCTCCCATCTGGCAACCGTCAAAACATTCTCTGTATCTATGAGTCTGCTTGTTTATGTTGTTCAGTAGATTCCACGCAGAAGTGAAATCATCTGGCATCTGTCTTTCTCTGACTTCTTTCACTCAGCACAATACCCGCCGGGTCTGCCCACGCTGGTGCAGGGGCCAGATTTCCCTTTCTCACGGCCAAGTCCATTCCATCAGTACACGCACCGCCGCTTCCTCATCTGTGCCTCCGCTGACCGCACGCAGGTTGCTCCCATGTCTCGGCTGTTGTGAGAAAAGCTGCAATGACCATATGGGTGCATCTGTCTTTTCGGTTCAGTGTCTTGGTTTCTTTGGATAAATATCCAGAAAGGGATCACTGGATCCTTCCTTGTCTCTTGTTACATCCCTTGTTTGAAAGTCTCTTTTGTCTAGTATAAACACTGCTATCCCGGCTCTGTTTGTTTTCATTTTCATGCAATGTCTCTCTCCACCCTTTACTTCCAGTGTGTGTGTGTGTGTGTCTCAATCTGCAGTGAATCTCCCATAGATGGAATACGGAAGGGTCCTATTTGTTATCCATTTGGCCACAGCCGAATGGAGCATTGAATCGATTTGCACTTAAAGCAATTGTTCATAGATATGTACTTATTGCCTTTTATTAGGCATAGTTTTTATCTTTTTTTTTTACTTCTTATTCTTAAAGAAGACCCTTTAACTTCTCTTGTAACACTGGTTTGGTGGTGATGAACTCCTTTAGCTTTTTATTGTGTGGGAAGCTCTTTACCTGGCCTTCCATTCTAAATGATAGCTTTGGTGAGTAATCTTGGCTTCCAGTCCTTGCCTTTCATCACTTTGAACACCTCTGGCCAGTGCCTTCCGGTCTGCAAAGTTTCTGTTGAGAACTCAGCTGACAGTTTTATGGGAACGCCTTAGTAGGTAACTAATTGCTTTTCTTTTGTTGCATTCAAGAGTCTCTCTTTATCTTTAACCTTTGGCATTTTAATTATGATGTATCTTGGTGTGGCCTCTTTGGTTTCACCTTGTTTGGGACTCTCTGTGAGGAAGCAATTTTTTTAAGTGACTTTTTTCCCTCTAAACACTAAAGTGTGGCTCTAAAGCCTCTTGATTTGGGGTCTGGAGGAAATCCTAATCAGACTTTTCTGTCCGAGCCAAGGTCACCAGGCCTGGCTGCCAGGCGGGGCAGGGAGCCGCTAACGCCATGCTGCCCGCTGTTGGGGTTAAACAGTGCTTTCTGGATCTCTGTCCTGGCAATTCCTGGGCCCGAAGCTGTGGCTCTCGTGGCCCCTTGCTGGCAGCCTGGGCCACATGCTGCATAGCCCCCTTCCCACCTCCAGGGTCGGCCACGTCCCTCCTGAAGGCCTCTCCTCGTCTGGCCTTGTCCTCCACTCAGCTCCCTGCAGCCTCAGCCCACCTGTGCCCAGCCTTCCCGAGATGGGCCTCCTGAGTGCCCATCCTTGGCAGGGCTGCCCATGTGTCTGGGGGGATCTAACACAGCAGGGAGGGGCATGGGCCCCAAGGAGGACGCTATGAGTGGGGACGTGTATGAAGTGGCCCAGAGCTACCCCTTCCCTGGCTGCTGCACCGACTTGTGGGAAGAAATCCAGCTTCCTCCCAGGCCCCCTTGGGCTCAGATGCTGACCGCAGCACAACCCAAGCCCCAACTGCAAAGAGATGGCTCAGAGCGGGTCACACTGACACGGTGTGAGGTGCCAGGGCCCTGTGCAGTGCGAACTGTGGTCTCCTGTCACGGGGGCGGGGCAGGGCTCTCTGCTGTGGGGTGTAAGGAGGACACTACCTGTGTGTAGTCATTGCATGGGGCAAAGAACCCAAAGGTTGGCACAACACCCGACAACGTGTCCCCAATTTGTGCCTGGACCTCGGCCGGGCTGCAGGCCTGCATCCTGGCTCCTACCCTTGCTCCTGCCTGCGTCTCCCTTCTCTCCTTACTCTCTCCAAAGTCTCCCCATTTCTCCATCTTTCTCTCTTCCTCCCGAGAGCTGTAGTGAGTGGAAGAGCCTCCCCCCAAACTCACGTCTGGGCAACCGCAAGTGTGGCCTTACTTGGCACAGGGTCTCTGCAGGCATGATTAGTTAGGACGGGGTCACCCAGGGTTAGGGTGAGCCCTGAATACAATGACTGAGTCCTCACAAGAGGAGAGAACACCAGAGACTTTGGGGGATGGCCCCAGGCCAAGCATCACCTGCAGCCTGGGACAGAGCAGGAGACACAGAAGGCCCTCCCACTCAGAGCCCAGGGGCCCAGCCCTGCTCACACCTTGATCTGGTCCAGCCCAGGAGGGAACAGGACCCTGAGGGCGCTCAGGCCTCAGCAGCACGGACGCGTCCCCGGCCCCTCTGCCAGGCCCTGTACTGAGTGGGCCTGCACACCCTCTTCCGCCCCATAGTCCTGGGCCCAGCAGCTCTCTCAGGTGGCATTTTTTCCAAATTGTAGTATTTGCTTCTGTCACCTCCCTGTTATGTCCTGGCATCAGGGAGACAGTGATGGAGGGGGACTTGCTCTAGACCTCTGGAAAGCAGGCGTCCTCACTGTCCTGCGCCCAGGGGTCAGTTCATTCGGGACATTTGACGTCCATGCACAGCAGCTGTGCTCTGAGAAAGGCTCTTCACTCAGATCAGCTGCCTCCCAGCACGCAGAACCGCCCCACTCCCCCACCGCCCGTGCCTTTTGTGGGGCCCTACCCCCATAGCCAAGCCCAGCCCTGGGACCCTCGCCAATCCTGGTCCACTGCTCCCAGCAGCTCTAGCAGCCGCCCCAGGGAGGCTCAAGGTCACGCAGCAGGGACTTGGGAGGGTGAGTCACAGTCTCGCAGGGGAGGGGCAGAGCCCTGTGCTCCCACCATGGGGGGTGATAAGGGGGGTAGGACAGGGAGGGGGGAGGAAAGTGGGAAGTGAGGTCAGTGGAAAAGGGGGGCAAGAGGGAGGGCAGAAGGGAGGACCATGGCCAGTTATTGGCTGGGACACTCGTGTTTTCCGAGGCCCAGATCAGGGTCCTCAGGAGCCTTTGGTCCTCCTGGTGGTGCCCAGGACCCGACTCAAGTTTGCTGGCCAGGGGTCCGCACAGCTTCTGAGGTTGGCGTCTTCCAGGGTTAGGGGCACGGGGGCCCAGCTGTCCTCTCCAGGAAGCTGTGGCAGGAGCCCCCTCCCCAGAGCTCTGCTGTGGGGACGACAGACAGGGGGCCTTGGACTCTGTTTTTTTATATAAATAGTTTATTTTTCATTGTTTTTTCCCCATTACCATGTATCCCCCTTGTGTCCTCTTCCACCTGACTCGCCCTAATTCTTGACATTAAAGACCCATTGGCTTCTCAGGCAGGATTGGCCCTGAACCTTTGGGACCCCACCCTCGTCACAGAAGTTCCCCAGCTTGTCACCTCTCCCTGATCAAGCAGGACAAATATGGATTCAAGTGTTAACCACCTGGCAGTCCCTAGGAGCCTCTGGACAGGGTGGGCCTGGAAGACCGCCTCCAGGGGTGGTAAGACTGTCCCTCTTTAGCCCCTGATGACCTTTGGGTTGGGGGAGGGGTCCGTCACCAAGGACAAACTGCCCCACGTCGGGTAAGAATGCTGCCCGCCCCGTAAATGTGTCCTCTGAAAAGCTGGGCTTTGGGGAAGTAAAGCTGAGCTGCACTGCCACGGGGCCAGAGCGGCCAGCCGCCCCGCCCAGCGGGCATCTCCACCCTGGGACCACGGCCGGGGTGCAGACGGCAGCCTCCTCCTGAGGTGCCCCGGCTGGGAGGATGTTCTAAAGCCACAGCTGCCCACCCCACGGTGGGGCAGCCTGGACTGCCGGTGGTGGCCGAGGCCACGGGGAGTGTCTGAGCAGCAGGGGCCAGCAGACAGAACCCAGTTCCAGCCATCTCGCCTTACATAGGGGATCCGGGGGTGCAGGGAGCAGGACAGCCTCGGGCAGCCGTGGCCTGTCCGCCCTCCCGCCCCACGACGTGCCATCCCAGTCACTGGTCTCGGCTCCATCTCAGGGGGTATCACTGCTCCCCTACTCTGCGAGGCAGACGGTGCAGGGTCCATGGCACCCAGAGACCAGGGTTCCAACAGCTCTGGACCCCCAAGCAGTGCCAGCTGCCCGGGACTCTTGTGCCCACGGGCTGGCTCTGAGTGCACTGAGAGGGGCAGCTCCAGCCTCTGTAGCGGCTGGTCCCAGGGGCCGTGCGGGGTGGGGATGAGGCCCACAGCCCTGACCTAGAGCGCTCCCAGGCCTAACTCTGTTAACCTCAGGTCTCCTTCCCTGAGGCCCAGTGTGGGTGGGGGTGGGAAGCAGGGGCCCCTCTTGCCCTGCCCGCCCTACCAAAGTGGCCTCAAATGGCAGGGACTCAACCTTGCACCAACCTTTGTGGAGACACTTCTCGACAATGGGCCATCTGTTTTCAGATTTCAAGCAGTGTCCCCAGCTTCTATGCACAGGGGGCAGTAGCAACCCCCCAGTGAGACAGCTAGAATGTCTCCAGACCTTGCCCAAAATCTCCTTGGGGACAGAACTCCCTCTGGGAGAACCAAGGGGACAAGGCAGGGCTGCAGACCCACGGAAAGGACATGCTGAGCTGACCAAAGCCACCTGACACAGCTCACATCGTCTATTCTCTTAAAGTGGGTTTGCAGGGAGGATGTCAAACACGGGATTCAACCAGTTTACGGCACAGGAAGCAGATAGCGAACCAGGGAAGGTGTGATGAAAGCCTAGAGGACATGGAAGTGCGCTGCATTCCCGAAGCCAGTCCATCCTCCCCAGGCCCAAGGGCAGAGAGTGTGGAGAGCATGGCCGTGACCATGCCCCAGGCCCCGGGCCGGCTGGGAAAAGGGTGAGGAGTGGCCCCCCGGGCCCAGAGGTAATGGGGCAGAAGCAGGCGAGCCCGGTCCCTTGCCACCTCCTCCAAGAAGGAAACCAGCTTCAGACAGAAAGCGCTGGGACCGGGCTCAGCTTCCCGGCATGGCTGCCCCCATCCCGCTGGCTGAGATCCCAGCCCCAGCACCTCCAGGGCCCCCACGCCAGTGCTTCTTTGCTCCAAATGCCAGTTAGTGACCCCTCTGCCACTTTCGGAGATGATGTGCCTCTTCTAATGCCTTCGTGTTCAAAGTCTGGGTAGTTCCTCATCACACTCATTTAAAAGCCACAAGAGGGCTTTTTGCTACAAAGACAAACAAAGGATTTCTTGTGACCAGTGTTAAGCTTGGCTTCCCCATGGAGACAGGTCCTCTCTTCTGCCCCAAGTCTGGGTCTGGGCCCACCAGTGTCCAACGGCCATGGGCAGAACCCACTTTCCTGGATGTGCGTGCCTGGGTTACCCGACAGCCTCCTTTGCAGAACCTTCTGAAAACATTAAACTGCAAGATTCATCCCAGGCAACAACACGGAAACTGCCCGGAGAGGGTCAGGACCACTGCCCATCTCCCGTTGCCTCAGGGGCTGGGCGGGCTCTGGGGAGCCCAGCGTTTTGAGTCCAGGTCTCCATCAGACCGGGCAGGTTCTCAGCAGAGGATGGGTGAGAATCCATGGCGACAGCAGCAAGGAGCTGCCCAGCCTGCTCTCTGAGGACGCCACTGAGCTCTGAAGGGCTGCCGCACAGCCGGGCACGCCCTCCGCACCCACGTCACCAGGATGGCGGTGCCAGCGGCAGCCCTCTTCACGTGAAATTCCACTGTGCTTGCGAAGGAGGGAGGCCTGGCTTTCCACAGCCACCGAGGGAGAGTGTTCTTCCCCGTGGGCATCTCAGACGAAAGCGAATCCTGGGCGTCTTTCTGCGCCAGCCGTTTCCTGCGTGTGGGCCTCGCACAAGTGCGGTCACAGGAGCCCTGCCAACACCCTCGTCAGCCTCTGCCCAGCGGGGCCCTCCTGGAAGAGAGCGGACAGCTTCACTCTTCTCTCCACACGGGTGCCCAGCCTTCTGCCGCTCTCAGGGCCCCTCGCTCCACAGCGTGCCTCCGGGGCCCCGAGAAGAGCCCCAGGGACTCGGGGGCTGGTGGTGGGAAGGAGCCACGTTGAGGTCTCTTTCCACTGTTTGGCAGTGAAGGTGGGGGACCCGCTCGCACGTGGCCGTGTGGTGTGTTCCAGAGCTGCTGGCCTGTTCACAAAGGCCTGGGACAGGCAACCCCACCCGTTCTCCCTGGGGTCAAGTGTAGTCTTTGCAGAGGAAGCCCCTGTGTGTCCCTCCAAGACCAAGGAGACTTCATGTCCACGAAGCCTCATGTTAATGGTGCAGGTGGGGCTGAGAGTCTCCCTTTGCCACCGGCCTGATGGAGTCAATTCTCAAGCTGCCATCTGACGTCGCTCTTGGTGACATCTCACAGAAGCCTTGTCCATGTCCCAAACAGTGAGTTCTTGTCAAACATGGTCTTGGAAGGAAAGAGAAGGGAGAGGGATGTGAGATACTGTAACCTGCTCACTTTCATTTTGGAAACGGAGATTTTCTAAGGACTCGGGACTGTGAAACCGAGGGTTCAACACAGCTGCCTGCAAACGGCGTGCTTTACCCGACTCAGACCAGGCAGGCCCCAAGGTATCAGTAACTCCTGTTCTAGAGTTAGCTAAAACCAGTTGGCGTGTGCCACCGGGGTGATCTCTAGCAGCCAGTCTGCTGACCTGACCCAGGCTCACCTGGGTAACAGATGGTCCCACTTGCGGTGGGAGCTCTGGGCACCTGGGCCAACCCTCCCTGTAGGTCAGGGGTGTCAAACTCATTTTCACTGGGGGCTACATCAGCCTCTTGGTTGCCTTGAAAGGGCCGAATGTAATTTTAGGACTATAAACATGTAACTACTCCTTAACAGTTAAGTGAGAGCTCAGCGCTGCCACAGGGTAGAAACAAGGTGTCAGCTGATAAAACAAGGTGGAGGGCTGGATGCGGCTGGTGGGCCTTGTGTTTGCCACCTGTGCTGTAGGCAGAGAATTGGGACTCAGACAGATGCAGCTTCTTGCCTACGGTGTCTGACTGGCTGCAAAGCTGCTCACAGCCTAAGGCACCTTCTGGTGGGAAACCAGAGGCTTGGGTGAAAGTTTTTCCCAAACTGGGATGAGGGTCACAACGACCTTCACTCCCAGGATTGTGGGTTGCTCAGCTCCCCCAGGAAACACCGGGTAACTGATCTATCAGGAAGAACCCAGTGTCTGGACTCACTCGAGACCCCCGTGGGGCCGGGGGTGGGGCAGATGCACAGAGGCAAGGGGAATGGAGAACGGAAGCTGGGTGGAGGTGCTGGGCGTCCTTGTCCTACTTCTCCCTGCCGTGTATACGTTTGCAAAATTCCATAACCTGTCAGCAAGTGGCCACGTGGACGAGACCACGTGCTGAAGGGGGCCGGTGGAAAATGCCTTCCCTGGGGGTTTCAGTGTCTCTGAAAGTGGAAGCACCTATGTCCTAGTCACCAAGTATCTCTCATGCCAAATGGCAAACACCGAGAAAGTGGCTGCCGAGACACTGAGCCCTCAGAACCAGCACACTTTTCCCCCCGAGCCTCCCTGACTCTTGGCAAACTCACCAGTCAACTCCAGCTCTGGCCTTGAAGCTTGGGCACCTGCTGGAACAAACAGGAAATGCTCAAGGCGGGCTGCAAAGAGTGGGAAGGGGCCAATCTGAAGGCACCAGTGGCCGGGCTACTTGGGCTGGGAACAGACTCCCAGGGGAGGCACCCTCAGGCCAGGCTGCTTTCGGGGAAGGTGCTTCGTAAGAGCTTTAAGCGTGGGAGAGGCACAGTAAGGTGCTCTGTGCCCTGGACTTTTTGCAGCCCGGCCAATGGGCAGCTCTGCTTCCACAGAAATGAATGAACTCCCTGCTGGCCTCTAGATTTGGGGCCCAACTTCCCCACCCCAAACCTAGGAGACAGTGTGTGGAACATGGAGTCTCAGACCTTGGGCTTCCAACCCACAGGCGGAGCTGTGCGCACTCAGGATGTGAACGCCATTAAAACTGACTTGAAACCAACTCCTTGCAGAGTTTCAAAACAGCTTGAAAAAGGGCAAAAATGCTGCCCCCGCGCCAAATAAAAGCCAAACATTTATCTGCACATGCCCCCACCTGGTACCTGCATAGTTCCAGTGGGGACACCAGCTCCTGCGCCCCAAGAACACGGCCACTACCACTGCCACTGCCACACCGAGAACGATCAGCACAATGAGCCCCGTCCCGGTTTGCTCAGAGGTGTTTCCTGGGTGCTTGAGGGTGTCGTTGACGCTCTCTGTGATGCTGCCATTGATCTCACTGGCTAGTGCTACGAGAAAGAGGAAAATGACCCAATACTTACATGGCACGGAGGAAGAGGTCTTCTTTCACCCTGAAGAAAAAAATGTTAATTCCAAAGAACTTCCCCGACACCATGTCGTGACTTTTACAACGGGAAGCTGACCGCGAGAAGGGCTCTCGCTCCCAGGTGCAGCCCCTCCCCACCTGCCCCGTGGTCCACACGGGGGGGGGGGGCGGGGCGGGCGGCCGGGGCAGGAGACACGGGTTCTTTCTGGCTTTTTACATTCAACTGCTTTCACCTGTTTCTAGCTTTACCTCTGACTTTAAATCACCGTGACATTTTTACATGACATGTCAGTAACTGCTTTAAAGCGAACAATTCAGTGGTGCTTGGTCGCCCACGATACGGCACAGTCGCAGCTGCTGTCCGAGGCCAGGGCTTTCTCATCACCCAAAAGGAAGTCCACGGCCACCGCCAGTCACTCCTCAGCCCTCCCAGAGCTCCTGACAACCTCGGACCTCCTTCCTGTCTCTCAGGGGCTGCCCATTCTGGATACTTCCTATAAAAGGAATCATACAGTGTGTGACCTTTTGGGACTGGCTTATTCCACCCTGCACGTCTGCATGCTTCGCCCGCACTGGAGGTCAGGGCCGGCCACACGCTGTGTGGTCCGGGCAGGCCCGCAGGGCCCCGACTCGGAAGGGCCTGTGCTCTGCGTGATACTCTACTGTCCCCTTCTTGGATTCTTGTCAGGTTCAAACAAGGAGCCCTGTGCTCCCTCCCACTGTGCACTGAGCCCCACAAGTCCTGTGATGGGCACCCCTTTCCCGCAGAAGGCGTGGCCCACAGACACCCTCCACCTTCTACCTCTCATCTCAACGCTCTGGGGGAGCCTGTGGCCTCTGCGAAGCAGGCACCTGTCTGCATCCCTTCCACCCGGGGGCCTCGGGCCAGCAGCCAGGCCCAGCCGCAGCGGGGTGGGGCGCACGCCCAAAGGCACAGAGCTTGGGGTGGCACTGTGCAGATGTGGGCTTCAGTCCTGACTCTGCCACTGCCTAGTTCTGGGGCTTCTGAAAATGCTACATAGCCTTTCAGAGCCTCAGTCCCTCATCTGGGAAATGGGTCTCCAAACTGACCCCATGGTCAGTGAAGATTAAGTCAAGTGTGCCTGGAGACAGGGTTATCCCGTCACCACGCACCCGACTCTTCCCTCTTCTCCCTTCCAACTACTGCCACCGCAGATTCCCTCGCAGGGGCTTTGTCTTCCACCTGAGAGGCTCTCCCGCCACCCCAGACCCACAGTCTCAGGTTGGGATCAGCCTGCAGAGCCTGGGGATCTCACCTGTCTGGCTGCTGACGGTCAGGTTCTGGTGCAGAAGCACGTTCTCGATGCAGCAGCCAACGTTTATGTTGGGGACCCGCCGGATCTTCAGGATGCTGACCACGTCGTACAGGCCCCGTGGGTTCAGGGAGACCGTACTGTTCTGCAGGGCCTCGTCCAGCAGGCTGTTGTCCGTCTTGTTGATCCAGTACACCTTTGGCTCGGGGTAGCCATCCTTAGACATGCACGTGAAGGTGAGTTCCTCGTCCTCGGAGGTGCTGGAGGGGACGCTGACCACAGGCATGCTGTAGTTTGCTGCAGGGGAGAGAGACAGGCAGTGAGGCATACCAGGCTCTGAAGGTCAAAAATGGAGGGGCACCCAGTGCCCAGGGCCAGGTCAGAGGGGAGGCATGCCCCGGACCCCGGTGGAGAGGAGAGGCAGGCAGGCCCAGGGCTTCAGTCTGGGCAGGGAGTACAAACCCTGTTCTGCCCAAGAGTCGCCCCCTCCACGCCCAATAGAGGAGTTATTGAGCCTGTGGGCAGTGGCTGTCACCCACTCCCCACTCCAGGGACACTAGTCTCATTTGCCTCAGTGACATGGGGAGCTTGCCCACTCCAGGCCGTAAGGCTGGGACGGCATCAGCGGGCGGTGTCGGCACTTTTACCTGCCACGTGCAGCATGACCTCGATATTCACAATCTTCACCAAGTTCCTAATCACCAGGCAGTTGAACTTCTGTTCATCTTGGGGAGTGATGTTGTAGAGGGTTAGAGAGAAGTCGCCTCGCCTCATGCGGTCTAGTGACATCTGGGCCCGGTCCTTGTACTGGTTATTGCCATAGCCCACGGAGCTGTTACTGGACAGGTAAGTCACAGTTTCTAGTCTGCCAGCAACACTGATTTGCCAGTAAACATAAAGATCATTCAAGTCAAAATTCTCTTCTCTGGTATAGTTGCAAGTGAGCTCGACGCTGCTGCCCACCATGGCTCTGACTTCGTTCTCTTCAGTATCTGCAGTGATTCAAAAAGCACATGGAATTTTGGGGGTTTACTCCTGGCCTGCGAAGCTACCCTGGTGGGGTCGAGGGGACCCCCTCACATACTAACCCTAACTCACTTCAGTAGAAGAGGAACGTGTTCCTAAGATACACACAGGAAGGCAGTATTAAAAAACTCTGGAATTTGTGGGAAGCTCTGGCACTGGATTGGCTGCAGCTGATTTCCTGCTGGTGTGTAAGCGGCTGCTAGCAGTGGGGATAGTGGGGGTGGGCACTGGGACCCTGCTGGACTCTCTTTGCTACTTCTTGGGAGTTTATAGTTCATTCAAGTTTAAAAGGTTTTGCAAAAACTTAGACATTTGAAGGAAAACAGTTTCTCAACAACAGCCTTCTAATGCTGCTTGCACGTGTGTCGAGAAAGCATGTGGTGTGTCCAGACCGGCTTCGCCATCTGTGTAAACACTTGGACGCCTGCAGGAAAAGTGGCCGTGTCCCCTGCACTGCCACTCTCTGAACTGGGAGGCCTGGCAAGGTCTCTGTCCCCTGTCACATCCCTATTCTTGCTCTTCTGGAAGCTGAGGTTTCTGGGCTCCCCTGCCCCACCCCCGGGGGCAAAGGGACCCTGAAGAAAAGGAAGCCCCGCTCATCTGGAAAGCAGAGGGAGGAAGTGCATGCCACCTACACCTAACACATGATAAAACAAGAACTAGTCCCCTTTGCGGCCTTCCATCCCACACATTACCCAGGCTTGGGGCTCAGCCTTCCCACAGGTGCCCCTGGAAAAGCAAGGGCTCTGGCAAGGCCCCTGCTGACAGCTGCAACCCCTGTCCCACTCTCCGCACTGAAGGGACTGGAACTGTCCCCAAATGGACCATGAGGCCTGTCGAACTTACTGGCTCGCAGGTCGCCAAGCAGCAGCAGCATCAGCAGCAGCGGGACAGCACTGGAAAGAAATCGGGAAGGAAGGTGAGTCCTGCTTCTTCCAGACAGTGACGGCTGCTTCTCCTGGGCAGGAGCGGGTTACACCCATCGGAGAAAACCAACAGCCAGCCCACCGGCCAGGACCCTGCGGCAAGACCCATGCATCTCTCTGCACAGCACAGCAGGTCCGAGCAGCCAGCAGCCCCTGCAGCCAGCCAGCTCCCGTGCTAACAACCCCCCCTAAAACAACGTGTGATAAAGGGCAGTGAAAGACACTTCCAAGGCCACAGCCTTCCACCCCCTGGTGTCCCTAGCCACCAGGGATGGCTTCCAAGAAATTGTATGAAATCAGAAAAAAAAACAAAAAAACCTAAAACCACTTTCAAAGTATTTATAGCAAGAGTTGCATTTAATTTGGGGGACGAAGGAGATCTAACGTGCCTGGTGGTGGTTGGTGAGCCACAGAACACACATCTGTGGAACCCATTTGTTCTGAAACCAAATCGGGAGGCCTCTCCCATCTGGTGCACAGCTGGCTGCCAGGGGTGAAAGCCTGTGGACTTCGGAGGCTCCTGGCACCTCAAACTGGGAGTCTTGGCATCCTTTAACCTAGCTAGCCCCTCCTGCTGGCCTCCCAGAATGACGTGCACCCGAGTTCTGGACAGAGACCCCCATGCCATCCATGACAACTGTCATCTGACTCTGCACAGAGGCATGTCTGCTGCCAGCAGGGGCTCCCCCACACCCCACAGAGGCCACAACCCGTAGGTGAGCCTGTCCTCACTGTCCCTATTGGGGCCACCATTCCCATCTGTGGGGACAGCTGTGATAACCTCTGTCTCCAGCCTGACCCCTTCATCCATCTTTCCCTGAGCCAGAGTGAATGCAAGGCTAAAATACAAAGCTGGGAACCCCCCTGTGGCCCCGGAGCCCACCCTGCCCATGCGCACCCACCAGAGCCTTTGCAGGTCGTCTGTGCACACACTGTGTGCTCCCTCGGGGGACAGGGTAGCCTGGTCCTGGGGGCTGCCTGCCTACTGGCCTCTCTCTACCCTCTCCTTGAGGTGGGGGAGTCTTCCCACCCTTGCTGTCAAACACTCCCACCCACCCCACCCCCAGGCCCACCATCACTGCCTGCACACCATCACTACCTCCCCTGCAGCCCCAGCCCGCCCTTCCTGGGTCAGACAGGAGAAGGCACAGACAGGGCTGCAGTTCCCAGGTGAGGGTGGCTGATGGCTGTGATAGTGTAGTACTTTTTCTTCCTATTGAGACAGAACCGTGTAAAAGTACCTACATTTCTAACTGGGGAGACTGGGCTGTGGGACCTAGACGTGGGCAGGCTTTCGGGGTGTGTGGGTGGAAAAGCTGGGGGCCAGTTTATCGGGGGAGGCACAGGCCATGTGCCCTGAAGGTAGTGTGTGGGCAAAAAGCTGGGAACAAAGATGTCCACCCTGAGACTGGCAGGAGAACAGGAGCAGTGGGTGGACGCAGGCAGTTCCACCTTTCCCAGTCTGGCTCTGCCAACCTAACGGGGGAGGGGAAATCCCTAGTGTGTGGGAGCCGGGCCTCAGCCAAACGGCGGCCTTGGCCTTGGGCTTCGGAGATATTCACATCCTTCATTCTTCCACCCTTGGGTAATCCTCTGGGGGCGGGGAAGGGGAGTAGGATAGAGTGCCAGACGGAGCGAGCGCTTTCCCTTCCCTTCTAGGGACCCCGCCCCCTAGCACACCCACGCACAGCGGAGGGTCCGGTCCCCAAACCCAGCTCGTCACCACCCCACCCCCGCGTCCCCGTGGTGCCCCGGCCAGCAGGTAACCGTGCCGGCCAGCCCTGCCCTATGCTGCCCTGCTCCCCGTCACCCACCCTTCGCACGATCCCAGCGGTTCGCAGCTAGGTGAGCAGGTCCCGGGCGGCGGCCACCAGGGCACCCTGGGTCTGGCCGTCCTGGGCACCCAGCTCCCTAACTGTGGAGCCTCCACTTCTTCCCCAGCTTCCGCAGGGTCCGGCTGGCGGCCTCTCACCTTCTCAGTGCCATGACAGAAGCGAAGACCTCCGTTGCGGGAGACCTTGGGCAGCAGAGCCTTCAGGCGGTGGGAACCAGCTCAGCGGCGAGCAGGGAAGACCGCAGCTCGCTAGACTGCCGGCTCACGGGAACTTTGGTCCCACCCCCGCCCTGCCCCTGGCCCCACCCACCTCCTTGGCCACCGCTAGCCTCTTCGCAAAGGAAACTCGGCCGCTGGCTCCAGAAAGTTAAGCCCTTTTCAGGCAGTTGCAAGATGGGCCCAGATGGGCAGAGGGCCACGGGCCTTGGGGCTGTAGGTACCCGGGAAGTTGGGGGGAGTGTGGTACAAGGAGGGAGGGCGGCCAGGGGCTCTGTGGAGGGGCCTTGGAAGGCTAGTGCTGCCCCCCAATGTCATCGGGCAGAGTGTCTGGCCCCCAAGTGTGCTGACGGGAGGGTTCCTCCCTCCCTCTCCCCCTCTCTGCTCAGGAAGGAGTGAATGAATGAGGGGAGGAGGGAAGGCAGGCAGGCAGGCACTACCCTCCGGTGCAGCCCCAGGTTTGCCCCTGCGGCCCCCCAGCTCTGCTCTTCGGTTCTGTCTGGGTCCCGCGCCACGTGCCGAAGCATGTTTTCATAGTAAAGGCTCCGAGAAACCCACCTTGCAGAAACCACTTAAGCTTTGCTCCTCCAAGTTGGCGAGACCTGGCACCCAAGTTTTCTGGTCGGAAAGAGCGACGCAGGGTGGCGGAGCGCAATTCAATGGGCTATTTGCTCCCTTCCCTCAACCCGGCCAGCACTCCCGGTCTCTTCTGTGCTTGGCCCCTCCAGGTGGGGCCAGGAGGGAATAGGGTGCCCTCCTCGAGGAGGTTGCCAGAAAGGGCCTGGGTTCCAAGACACCCAGCTCAGGTCCGGAGGACCGTTCCCAGAGGAGCTGGCAGGAGGGGTGTGTCCAAACACCCAGGCTGACTCAGAGGCAGAGAGGCCAGGTGTACGGCGAGGGCGGAGCCAAGCAGGGAGGGTCCTCACCCCCCAGCCACCTTCTGCACAGAGGGACAGTGCATGACTCCAGGGCCTCCGTGAGCCTGAGCATAAAAGCTTTTAAAAAGGCGGAGGCTCTGCCTTGTGGAAGTTAACTTTCCTGTGGGGACAAGAGCAGAAATGAGGTAACAAAAGGGATGGGCTGGGAGAGGGGACTCGTGTGACAGAAAAGGAGGGGCCAGGCTAGGAGGGCTGGCTCTCAACCCCAGGGCTCCACCCCTCCAGGCCAGGCTGGGAGATTGGTGTGGAGGATTTAAAGAGACCAAGCGGAGGCCACCCTCCCTTTTAGCCTTGGACACCAGGGCCAGATCTCCTTTTGCATGTCCAGTGAGGGCAGGAACAATCTGAACTGGTTCTGGGGTGGGGCGGGGTGGGTGGGAGAGACAGAGGGGAGGAGGGGAAGTCGTGGTGGAGGAGTCCAGGAGATGGGTACCGGAAGGAAACTTAAGATCTTGAGATTTGGCCAGGAAAGCAGGGTATGAGACTCAATCAGATTGGTGGGGGAGGGGTGTCTCAGCACTCACCCCATTTCTGAAGCCAGAAAACCAGTTCTGTCCAATGCTGAGGCTTGAGGAAATGTAGCCCAGTACGCTGGGCGGGGCACATTATCAGACCCAGAGGTCTGGAAGGGACGTGATTTCAGTGGCTTTGCTTCCCCTTGAATTGGTTCTTCTCCCCATGGGTTGGCAGCAGCCAGCAGAGGAAAACAGAGCTTGGGGAGGGCTGGGCTGGGCTGGGCGCGCCCCACCTCTCCTACCTGGCAGCGTCCAGCCCAACCCTCAAACCCCGGGATTCTTTTGCTTGGACACGCTGCACTGACTGGCTGACACTTTACTCCGCCGCCCCCATGGAAATTCCTGCTCTGCCCTCAGGGACGCCGAGTGGGAGGGGTGGACCCCACATGCAACCTCAGTGGCTGTGGGAGAGGAACGTGTTGGGGGAACAGAGAATCACCCCTGTGGAACTAGGGAGGGACAGCGCCTTTCAGTGCAGCTGGGGCACTGCCCCATGGCAGGAGAGAGGACTTGAAGGGGCTGACAAGGCAGAGCTGGCAGGAGCTGAGGCTAATGAGGGAGGACCAAGCTCTGCTTCCTGGGCAGTTGCCCTCGTCCTAGGCCCAGAAGGCCAAGTACTCTTGCCACCAGGGTCACCCAGGAGCAGGGACTCTGGGAGGAAACATACTGTGGAGCAGGCAGTTGGAGTGGCAGGGAGTGTAGCTGGGCTGGAAGGGAACATCGAGGTGGACCAGGGCCCTGGGGACATCCTGGAGGACTGGGACCATGGAGGGAGGGGCACCCCCAGGAGTGGGATCAGGAGCACCCCCAGAATCCGCAGCCTGAGAAGTGCATGCCGGCTTCCAACCCTAATTCTGCAACTCAGGAGCTGCGTGACCTCCAGCAAGCTGCCTGACCCCTGCGCACCAGCATTTTTCCGTTTGGGAAGTGGGGAGAGCGAGCCATAAGGTGTCCCTCATGAAGCAGCCGAGTTAATACGTGGGTTACAAACACAAAGAATTTTAAGACAAATGGAAAAAGCAGACTGCAGTGGGGGGTGGAGCGAGACCCCCGGAGGGATATCTGGACCGACCTGGGGACCCGGGAGGACACGTGTTCCTGCCAGGGACTTCAGGTTCTGGTGCAGACATGGAAGCAAGAAGCTGTACCTTGGCGCCGGGGACCTGGGCTCCCCCTTCACCACCCCTGCAGCAGTTCCCTTGGGGTCCCCATCACCAGGGGCCCACGACATCACAGGCGTCAGTTGATGCTGGAAGCTCGACTGACCCCTGGTCCCAGGAAGCTCATCTTTTCACTGAGGGTACCTGTGGGTGCCGGAATTTGTGACTGCAAGCTCGGTGGGTTGAAGCTACAGCAACACATTCTGTCAGATCTCAGGAGGCTGGATCTGAACTTGGTGTTCCTCCATCGTGACGCCGTGTAGGAGGTCCTCTCCCCCTGCCCCTGAAAGGACCCTAGTGGTCACACTTAGGGTTCACACGCGACTCCTTCGCATCAGCCAGGTTCTTCCTCGCCACATCAAGTGACATTCATGGTTCCCAGGAATTAGGACAAGGACATCTTTTTGGGGAGGCAGTATTCAGCTGGCCACAGAGGCTCCCAGAGAGGGGCTCTATGAATGGGATTAGATATTTAGAGGGAGGAACTCTAGACATCTGGGAGGGAACCGGACATGTGGAGCTGTTCTGAGTGGCTCTCGGCCCGCTTGGGAGCGGACTGGCGGAAAGCCCTTCGCTGCCTGAGTGGGGCAGCCTGCACTCAGCGCTCCAGCGCAGGGCCCGCCACGTACTGTCCCGCCCGTTGCTGCGGCAAGTGCCCATCCGCTGCCAGCGTGGATCCAGAGCCTGGCCCCCCAGGGAGGTCGGTCTTATCTGTGCCCGTTGCTGCTGCCCCCTCACCCCCTCTGTGTTTCCGGGGCTGCTGTGCCCTGGGTTTTTCACTGCAGGTCTTGCTGGATTAGCGCCTGGGCATCAGACCTGCGTCAGAGGCCAGGGCCGTCCTCCACCCACCTGCGAGAGAAGGTTCGCACTGACTCAGTGAGGATGTCTGTATCGGGGATCTCCGCAGAAACAAGACCAACAGGAGGGTGTGTGTGTGTGTGTGTGTGTGTGTAAAGAGAGAAAGAGGGAGAAAACTTATGTCAAGGAAGTAGCTCGTATGGTTATGGAGACGAGAGAAACCCAAATCCTCAGGGCGGTGGCAGAGGACCCAGGGTGGAGCTGCCGTCGGAGCCCACAGGTGCTGTGCCAGAGGCCGACTCCGCAGCCTCCAGGGCCTCGGCGGCGGAGGCAGCCCACTGCCCTCGGTCCCTGGCCGCATGCCGAGCACATCTCCTCGCTCGGTGAAGGGGCGGGAGGCTCATGGGTGCCTCTGTGATCCAGGCACTAACCGAATTTTGGAGTCACCTCCAAAGGCCCCACCCTTCCTAACACCTACACCTTCGGGGTTAGGGTTTCATCGTAGGATTTTTTGAGGGCGGGGCATGGACCACAGACATTCAGACCGTGGCACCCACCTACCTCATGAAGAGCAGTCTACTTTACCCAAAACTCACCGATTAGAATATTAATCTCATCCAAAAACCACCTTCACAGAAACACCCCAAGTAGCGTTTGAACAAATGCCTGGGCATGCTGGCCCGGCCACGCTGCCATGAAAAATTAACTGTGAAACTTCTCCTCTACTTAAATATCTATTTAAAGATTTCATTTATTTCCAGAGAGAGGGGAGGGGAGGGAACCAGAGAGGGAGAGAAACATCGGTCGGTTGCCTCTCTCACACATGCAGGCACAGGTTGGGGACCCCCCGCCCACAACCCAGACCTGAGCCCTGACCAGGAACTGAACCGGTTTGTGGGATGGGATGATGCCTAACCCACTGAGCCACACCAGTCAGGGCAAGATGTATTTTTTGAAAACCTTCAAAAGACCCAATTTTAACTGAACCTTTTTCCCACAATGCCTCTTACATCCCACTCACCAGCACCAGCGCTGGCCCCCAGGGGCCCCAAACCCCAGCTGTCATGCACAGGATGATCTCAGCCTTGGTCCCTTTGGGGGGCTTATGCCTGATATGGAAAGATCTCTTTAGGACTCGCTATCTGGGATTCGAATCCAGCTGGAGTCCTTGCTCTTTGGCGCTCACCGTCACTGGGGCGTAGCGTGACCGGGAAGGCGTGACCGGGAAGGCGGCCCGCTTCACAAGTGCGCCCTCTGCCTCTGCGCTGCCCACGCGGTCCCTTTTCCCTCTGCTCGCCACGCTGGAAAATTCTAGACTTTGCAAAGGTCCATGATGTTCTGTGTGGCCGTCATCAGGGCTTGTGGTTTTCACCCTCGTGGTGAATGGCCCTCTCGTGAAAGCGCCACCCTGTGCATGTGTGGAATGTGTGGCGGGCGCTTAGGGAGTCGGTCCCGCTCGTGGCCCTCACCCACACCCCCGCACCCTGCAGAATAAAAGGAATCCTGGGCTTATTCATCGACGCACGGAGAATGACGTTGAACTCGCATGATGAATGTGTTGTTAACTTCTCAAATGGCACGCCGTGCGCCCGAACATCAGGATGTTGACCCTGGTGAGATGCCAGGTGCCTCGCCCCCTCCCTTGAGTGGACGTGGAGGGCGGAGGCTGCATCTCCAGACACAGCTGTGGCAAATCCAGAGTCAAGCAAATAAAATAATAATTCGAAGAGGAAAAAAATGAGACAATATCAGGAAAGTTATCTGTTCTAAGAAAAGGTTTTTTTTCCTCGCCACAGCATAATGAGTCATTTATAAAGAGGAAGTGAGCTCTGTTGAAAAAAACTTGAAATATTCTTTCAGGGGCAGAAAACAATTCTTCACCAGTCTGGCGGGCCCCGGGCTGGGGGACTTTGCTCTTGGCCTGTCCTGAGCCAACAGGAACACCTCGTCTTGGGGAGCCAGGGCAGAATGCCTGCTGCAGAAGGGGGAGGAAGCTCATCACCCACGGAGCACCCCACCCTCCCCAGACCAGGGAGGATGTGGGGGGTGGGGGTGCGGCCAAGGCTGGCTGCTGCCAGTCTCTCCAGATTATTCGGCAGAGGTCTCTCAGAGAAACACCCTGTCCACCTTGCATGTCCTGGGCAGTAGGGGACGAGATGGCCCCCACACTTCCTGCCTTCCCCAGGGAGGCACTGGTTCTGTGAGACGTAGGCACAGCAGTGAAGGGCTGAGGGTCCCCAAGGACAGACCTTGGCCCACCTGCGCAGGTCCCCCTTTTCATGAGGAGCCACCATGGGGAGGCCCCACCAAGCAGGAGGGGTGGGATGTGGGGCAAAGGTTGGTCAAGCAGAACTGAATGTCATTCCCCAGGAATTCTGATTTACCCCAGACAGAGAGGTCTGGGCACATCCCCGGGGGTCCTGTGGCAGCCTGTGCTGCAGACCCTGCACGTGGGGCAGGTGGGTGGGGAGGACATAGGACCCCCAACTTGCAACTTGATGCCACCCGTGGGACTCCAGACTTCATGGACTTGGTGCCCAGGACTTTGGTCTCGTGCTTCCAGGCACCCATCGCAGTCAGGGAACAGAAATGAGGTGCCTAAAACACGCGGGGCCCCTCCTGGCACTCTCTCCAACCCCACACACCACCCCAGGCAGCCCGGGCAGCGGCAGAGGATGACTGTGGCTGTGCAGAGGCAGCTGCCCATCAGCTCGGGGCATGATGTCCACTTTCTATGAGTGTGGGTCTCTCTCCTGATTATTAAGACAGCAGGAGCCCGAAGGGAAACGCCTTTCGGAGAAGCAGCTTCCAGCTTGTTTCTGGGAACCACGTGGGGGAGGGAGCGAGCTGGAGGGCAAGCCAGCGGAGCATGGCGCATGTAAGCAGCTGCCCACAGAATGGCCATCCAGGCTTCAGAGAAAACATCCCAGAAAGCTGCCTCCCTCCCTTCATCTATGCTTAAAACAAACCCTGGGTGTGGTCCTGGTGGGGGAGACGCTGGGACTGGATTGGGAAGGAGAGGCTCCGGAAGCCACTGTGGGGAGAAGATGGGACCCAGCTGGCCCTGATGCATCGCCGGGTTCGCTGGGCTGCGCTGGGTGGGGATGAGGCGGAGGAGCCACTGTTCCCCTCAAAGGCAGGGGGCACAGTTCTCAGGCTGCCATCCTGGGACAGAAAAGCTGACGGAGGAGCAGGGCTGGCCACGCTGGGGGCAGGGGCGTGGGGGGGGAGGGGAGGAACGGAGCAAACATGCCTGAGCGGGAACAGTCAGCAGGCTGTCTGGCAGCAGAGGAGGGTGTCAGGCCTGGGGATCAGTGGGAGCAGTTTCATACAGCCACAGTGCGTCCCGGATGAGTGTGTGTGTGAGTGTGAGTGAGGGTCAGTGTGTGGGTCAGTGATTGTGAGCAGGTGTGAGGGTCTGCGTGCATGTAGGCGGGCTGTGCCCCAGAAGGCTGGGAAGGGGCACCAGGCCCGGGGCGCGTGTGGCCGTACAGCGGATGGCCGGGGTCTGGACTCTCTTCTCCGGACACAGGGAAGCCCTGCAAAGTCCTGCGGTGACAGCCTCACACGTGCTGATGCAGCAGCTGGGACAAGGTGCCCCGTGTGGACGGCGTGCCTGACCTTGGGCGTGCCCAGGACGGTGTGGGCCATGTGGAAGGCCCACCAGACACAGCTCCCGACCTGGGCACAGGCGGCCGGGCATGGCCGGGCCCAGTCTCCTCCAACTCTTGTTTGCTGGACAGCAGCGACCCCTCCACCCCGAGGGCCCGCGCACACAGGGAATACCTCCGCACGGCCGGGATGTTGCTCCACACGTGAACGGCGTTCCGGACGGTCCTGCCGCAGACCTCCTGGATGGTCACGGGGTCCGTCTGTGGGCGGAAACGCCGGCTGCCGATCAGGCTGGCCTGGACAGTGACCTCTGTCCCCTGCGGTGCCCACGGGCAGCCACCATGGGAACCACGCGCGTGGCCCTCAGAATACAGTCAACAGCCTTCCCAGGCTGACTACGTCCCCCAGGCCACACTTCACATTTAAAATAAAAATCATGTGAGGAAAAAATGTCGAGATATTATTTTTAAACTTTTAACCAGTTGATTTTTTGTCCCCACGGGTCATGTGGCACAGGGACCCCCTGCCTGCTCAGGCACCGGTTGGATTCCCCTGCAGATAAAGATGACTGTGGTCTTTGAGCCCTGGCTGGTGCAGCTCAGTGGGTTGAGCCCCAGCCTGTGAACTGAAAGGTCGCCAGTTCAATTCCCAGTCAGGGTGCATGCCTGGGTTGTGGGCCAGGTCCCCGGCTGGGGCCATGTGAGAGGTAACCAATCGATGTTTCTCTCGCACATGGATGTTTCTCTCCCTCTGTCTCCCTACTTTCCCCTCTCTCTAGAAATGAATAAATAAATCTTTTTAAAAAAAGAACTGAAAGAGGACTGTGGTCTTTTTGTCTCAGGGACGTGAGATCTATGCCGGCAGAGGGGAGGGTATTGTAGGTGAAAGTGGGTGCCCGGTCCTGGCTCGCCGTCTCCCTAAAAGCCACCAGAAGGACAAGAGAAGAGAAAGCAGGAGGTGGGGCCGACCTCGGAGGGGCAGCCTTGGGAGGGAGAGGGGCACGGAGGAGAAACTGAGGCAAGAAGCCACCGGGTCCCTGACACCATGAAAGGTGGTCTTGACTCTACCTCCCCAGGCTCCAGGGCTGCCAGAGAGGCCCCCGGTGCGTCCCCGAGCCCCACCGCCCTGGGGCATACAGCTTCCTCCTGTTTTTAGGCACCACGGGTGGGAGGCGAGGGGGGCTGACAGCTGGCTGCGCCATCGGTCACTGGGGTTGACAGGGGCCATCCCTGCATCTGGCACGTTCAGGTGTCCCACCCACGGGCAGGAACGAGGCTCCCTGGCAAGGTGGGAGCGGTCACAGAAAATAGTGGAAATTCCCTTCGTCTGCACTCCTCTAATTTGGGACCAACTTGGATGGACCCAGGAGGTGCAAAAACAACAAAAGCCAGTGGCACCCCGGTGGGAAACTGCTCTCGTTGGCCTGACCCGTGATCACTTATTCACAGTGTTTCATGAGCAGCCTTGGCCGCCGCTACGGGGCAGCCTGTGGAGTCTCCGGCCCCAGCCTGCTCAACAAGGAGGGAGAAGCACAGGCGCGGACAGAAGTCCAGGGACCGTGGGGCCACTCTGCTCGGCTCTGCGAAGACGCTTTTTTAAACCATCGTGAAGGGAATTACATTCCAGGAAAACATAACTTTCCAAGTCGATCACCCGAAGCATAGGAAACCCTTACAGGTCGTCGTTTCTGCAGAAGGGCCACCTCCCGCTTCAAAACCAGGGCAGCGGCAACCCACCCAGACCGTCCCACCGGGCAGTTCCGTCAGGCTCTCAGATGTTCCCGCGACTCCAGCTTAACATCGGCAGCCGGACCCAACAAAAATGGCACACATACAAAAACCGCAGGCCGCTCTCTCTGCGCTGGCCACAGCCAAAAGGCCACTAAGTGCCCTCCCACAGGAGTGCAAAAATGGTTCCTTGTTGGAAGTCTATTAGTATATCTTATCAATAGCTCAACAGAGGGACATTATCTCATTATCTCCACAAACGTTAAAAAGAACATCTGAGCCCTGGTTGGTGTGGGTCCGTGGATTGAATGTCAGCTGGTGAACCAGACAGTCAGCCGGTTCAATTCCCAGTAAGGGCACATGCCTGAGTTGCAGGCCAGCTCCCCAGTAGGGGGTGTGCAAGAGGCAAATAAATACACATTGATGTTTCTCTCCCTCTCTCCCTCCCTTCCTTTCTAAAAACAAATATATAAAATCTTTTTTTAAAAAAGAACATCTGACAGAATCCAGGAGTAATTACTGATAAAATTACTCAAAAAGTAGAAACCAGCCGTGGCTGGTATGGCTCCGTGGATTGACTGCTTGCCTGTGAACGGGATGGTCACTGGTTCGATTCCCAGTCAGGGCACGGGCCTGGGTTGCTGGCCAGGTCCCCCACTGGGCCAAGCAAAAGGCAACCAATCAGTCTATCTCCCCTACATCGATGTTTCTCTCCCTCTTCCTCCCTCCCTTCCCATCTCTCTAACAATAAATTAATAAAACCTTGTTTTAAAAAAGCAGAAAGCAATGCAAACTTCCTTAACATAGTGAAACCTATCAACTTGGAGCCAGTGCCCACTCAGTAGGGCAACATGGAAACACTGCCATGCATGTCAGGGACGAGACAGCCAACGTCCCGCCCCCGCTGTGACTCAGCGTTACCCCACAGACATCAGAAAGAGACCGAGGAAGGTGCCCGAGGGGGAAAATGCGAAGGGAACCCCGTCTCAAGGTGCAGATGATCCGCTCCAACACCAAGGAGACCTAACAGAACCCCCCCAAACGGCTATGAATCCTGAGGCCCTTCCATGCGGCAGCAGAAGCAAAACTAAGGTACAGAAATCAATGGTTTCCCGTATTCAAATCAAAACCAGTGAGATGTGAACACGGGAGATCCCAGCTGCCGCGGGGCACTCGGGAACAAACGCAGCGCGACCTGCATAGGACAGCTGGTGACGCTCCGGGCGAGGCCCAGGAAAGCGGGAACAGTGGGAACGTGAGCCAGGACTAACCCCGCCCTCCGAGGGCCACAGGGCATACCCGCGAAAATGACCAAGACCCCGACGCGTGCCCCTGCCTCGGAGCAGCGGTTGTGACAGCCCAGGGTCAGAATCCGCCCGACTGCCCATCCAGGAGGAGGAGGCCACTTCATCTGTTGTGTCCACGTGAAGCCAAATGGAAGAAAAAACAGAACAAAATGAAGCACAGGGACCACAGCGAGGAATGAGGGGGCGTCCTGTGATGGGAGGGTCGCTCACGGGCACTCAGGCGGCGGCCGGGTGGCAGTGCAGGCAGGCGGACCTGCTGTGTTTGTGTGAAGAAGCCTGGAGGTGACCAAGAAACCGCAGACCAGGGAACAAGGACGGATGGGGTCAGCATGGCAAGGAGACTGTTTGCTACCCATTTGGAGGTGGGGGAGGCGTCCAGTGAGGAGTGGACACTGGGCTCGACCAGGGGCTGTCGTGTATGGGGAGAGGGGTCGGGAGGGCTTCAGGTCAGCCCTGGACAGGGTTGTCTCTGAATCCTGGCTGCCCTGAGGGTCAGAGTTCAGAGGCCTGGAGAGAATAAACCGGGTTGTCGGTGCTCCGGAGGGTGTGCGTGTGAGTGCATGTGTGGTGTGTCAGTCGGGTTTGTACTGTGTAAGTGTGTGTGTGGTGCGCGCACATGTGTGCATGTGCACAAATGGACAGCCCCGTGGTGGTGTGTCCTGAGTGTGGTGTGAAGGGGACACCATCTGAGGCCGCCACGAAAGGTCCGCACCCTAGTGGCACAAGGCAACCCTCCCGGGCCCTGCAACCTCTGCAAACGGAGGCCTCAGATGTCAGAACCTAAACGGCCGCCCCCAACTAGGCCCCCATGTCCCTGGGGAGACCCGCCTGGCTGGCATCCTGGGGACACACCCTGCCCGTACCTCCAGGAAGCGTGTGGCTACAATGTGGTCATCCTTGGTCAGCACCAGGTTGTCCACGAATATCCAGAAGAAGGGCCGCGGGCTGCTGGACCGGGGCTTGGCGTACTGCAGGATGCGGTGGAACTGGTACACGAACCACCCTGGGGGGACAGCAGGGCTGAGGGGCTCCGTGTGGCCCCCTCCCCCTCCCCCGAGGCAGCTGAGCCCCAGGGCCCAGGGCTCGCTGTCGCCTGGAGTGCACCCCCAGCCTCACCCAGTGCCCCGGAGTTCAGGGGCTGTGGGTGATGGGCAAGTTCACGCTCTGGCTGTGGCCATGGCTACGTCAGAACACACTGCCTTGTCCTTGCCGAACGTGGGCGGTTTATGGATGTTAGTGATCCCTCAACGAAGCTGTTTTTAAAAATGCAGCCCTGGCTGGTGTGGCTCAGCAGCGGGTTGAGTGCCAGCCTGGGAACTGAAAGGTCACCAGCTCGATTCCCAGTCAGGGCACACACCTGGGTTGCGGCCCGGGTCCCCAGCTGCGGGGGTGCGAGAGGAAACACTTGGTGTTTCTCTCCCTCTCTTTCTCCCGCCCTCCCACCTCTAAAGATAAATAAATAAAATCTAAAAAATATATAAAAAAATGCAAAGGCAGGCAATTTGCCATTTCTGCCCTCTCTGAGAAGGGCTGGTGGCCCGTGGGGGGAGGGACGGGAGGGCCTGGGCCCCGGGGGCAGAGGGCACTCTCTCACCGGGAGGACGGTCTCGGGGCTGGTGGAGGGGAGGCGTGCTGCCATACACCAGGTCGAACGGGCCCCACTCGTCCACCTGCAGGACACAGGACACTGGAGGAACTCCCACCACTCGCAGGCCGGCAGCCCCTGCCAGTGGCAGGCTCCTGTGTGCCGAGTGGTGGCACCACTGGGGCGGGCGGTGAAGCCATGGAGTCAGACCCACCGGTGTCCCTGTCAGTCACCATTGGCCTGGGGAACTCTCAGAGCCAGCATCCATCGTTTGAGGAGAGGCTGGCACTCCCCGCAACACCCCACAGAGCGCTGGACACTCAGGGTGGACACTTTTGTGTGCAGCGGGGAGAGGCTCTGTCCCAGCCTTGGGGCAAACCAGAGACCAGGGTCCTCCTGCCCTGGGGCCAAGAGAAGGCTTCCCACCCTTTCTCCACCTGCTGTGGAGGGCTCGGGGCCCAGCTGGGTGCTGATGAGTCATTTTCAGGCACTTCCTCCAAGGCCACCTTGCAGGACAGCAAAGAAAAGCCTTCGAGGAAGCCAGAGCATTTCATCATCGGAGTGTCCAGAGGGTGTTTTCCGCCAGCCATTGTTTACTTTAGAGGGAGGGGCACGGTTACCCCTCTCTCTGGGTGACACCATCACTGGTAGGGGGCTGGACCCTTAGACTTCAACATGGAACCGGAGGTTTGGCTGGTGCCTCTGCTCTGGGCTGTGGGCAGCATGGGGGCCAAGAAAGTGCCCCTCTTACCTCTCCCCCAAGGGGAGAACCGCCAGCAACCGCCAGCAACTGGGTGCCAATTCCTGTGAGACCCCCATGTCGGCCCTGGCCTGGGCCAGCGCTATGCAGCAGCCGGGATGCCCCCCACCCCCACAGCACCCCAGCCCGGACGTCCCACCCACCAGCCTCCATCTCAGCACCCGATGCACTTACGTTCCTCCTCACTACGTCTGTCACATCGCCTAGATGCCTCAGGTTTCCTGAGCCAGAAGCAGTTTCCAAAAGGCCCAAACTCATCAGCTCTGGGTGGGGAAAGACGAGGGCACAAAAAAGACAATTGACTTGGAGCCCCACCTTAATCAAATGACCAGAAACCATGTCTGTCGTCAAGGAACAAGCTTTGTCTTTTCAATGACGTGACAGGAGACCGAGGGTGCAGGTGTGTGTTGCGTTGTAAGCCCAGAAAACTCCTCTGAGTGTTGGTTTGAGAGCCGAGAGCTTTGCCGCAACCAGCCTTTCTGGGCCGCCAGGTCACGCCCCGGGTCAGGAAGTTCGCCAGGCAGGGGGGTCCACACCGAGGTCACCCGACCAGGCTGCGTGACATGGCGGGTGGGCTGCCGGAGCCAAGTCATGTCCTTAGGGAGGCTGTGGTCCGGGGACAGGAAGATGAACCCAGAAAGGGCCTTGCAAATTGGACTCAGGGACGTCCCCGAGTGGGAGATAAAGGCAGTGTGCCCTGACCTGACCCCGGGGTCCCTTCACCTGTAAGTTGGGCCCACTCTGTGTGAGTCTCAGGCCCCTTGTCCAGGCTGCTGTGACCACCACACGGGGCACAGGGCACAAGCTGGAAATGGGTCGGGTCCCCGATTCCATTCGGTCTGAGACTAAGGGGTATTTTCAAGGGTTCTCCTCATGCCGGGGCCAGAAGGATCCAGGGTTTCCGAGGGCCCCAGCTGGTGAGGGAGGGCAGCTGGGTGAGGCTGGGGGCAGCATGGGTGCGGCTGGGCACTCTAGGAGTGAGGGTGCTGGGGTCCCTGGGAGGGGCTGGGTGGCTCAGCGGGTGGCCGGGTGTGTGGTGACCGTGGGCAGAGAGCCTGGCCGCCAGGCCCTGGTGAACCGCACTTCACACCTGCCACCTGGCCCTATGCATTTCCTTTCCAAGGCGTGTCCTCTGAAGGAGGGAGCCCCATAGCTCCTGCGCCCTCTCTTCCGACCCCCGAAAATGACCCTCAGCCCCAGATGCTCAGCAAGTGTGAGACTGGGAACATCCCAAACCCCCACACACCCAGGTCTGGGCAGGCGCACCCTCCATCGGGAGTCCCCTGGATGTCAACACACTCACCATTCCCTATCTCCCCAAAAAGGGACAGCACCCGGACTGGCTCTCTCTTCCACGCAGGCACAGTTGCATACATCTCAAGGGGACTGTCCTGTTTATTTAAAAAACACGACGTTCTGGGATGACTCGGTTACAGAGCCTGCGAGTCACACTGAGCCTCCTTTCTGACCAGCAGCCACATTGGCACTGCCCCCGATGAACGGAGGCACATTTGGGACACCCCTGCCTCGGCGGCTGGCCTCACCCTGGTCGCATGGCCCCCAAACCCATGAAGACCCGGCTCCCCCTAATACCAGGCTTTCTCTAGCAGAGGGAAGGTGAGTGCTGTGGGGGCGCTTTTCCTGAGTGTGCAGGAAGACAGTTCCATCCCGGGAGTGGGGGGACACTTCCATCGTGTTTCTTGGGGGGAGTCTCAGTTGGGGGCATTCTGAATACCCACAGCAGTGGGGTTCACCCCCTTCCTCTCCTTGTGTGAGCTCCGAGTGTCGCCCCAAGCTGCCTGGTTCCCCGAAAGCTCCCAGCAGGAGGCCCGGCCCCGGGTGAGGATTGAGACCAAGAGCTTGTGCCCCGCGCTCAGCCACCAAGATACTGAGCTGAGGACAAAGGAAGGGGAAGGCCCCTGGATGATGCCTGCTTTCCCTTCCAAGACACCCAGGGAGAGACCCTTGATCCATTTGGAAAACAAGCCCCCAAGAGTGCCCCCCTCCCAAGCCGTGGCACTGGGGGGAGCCCAGCCTCCCAGAAACCAGGCACCAAGTTGCCCACAGTCGGAGACCTTGCCTGAGCAGGTGTCTGCCTGTGTGTGAGGCTTGTGGGGCGGAGGTGAGGGGTTGTGGACCTGGGTCACTCAGGGCAGGGTCTGCCTCGGGCTCAAGCAGGTGGGACCGCAGAGACACAGGCCCCGAGGGAGTGAGCAGGTGAGTCGAGGGCGGGGCAGGGCAGGTGGCGCCCTGGCTGGCCTGAGGGGGTGGAGGAGGGAGAAGGGCAGGGCCATCTGTCCCAGGCACAGTTCTGCCAGACACTGGGGGACACACATCCTTGTCCCCCACCAGAGCTGCAGGAGCTGAGCCTCGTCCCTCTGCATCTGGCCCTGGGCCCCCATTAGCAACATTTCTGAATATCAACCTCATTTCCTTTCAAAGTAAACACTGAGATGGACAGTTTCTGTCACTAAATGGCCCCGGAAAAAGGTTCTAGAAGTATGCGAGGCTATGCTCCAAAAAGCACCATTAAAACACCCACAGAGGTTGTTAAGGACACGTTCCCAGCCTGTGACGGGGAGACTGTGGGGCGGCATGGCCTCCTGGGGGGCCCGTGAGTGGCCCCAGCAACGCTGTGTGCAGGTCCCCAGAGCTGGTTCTGGCCCCTGCTGTCCACTGCTTTCTCGCCCTCCTGTCTTTATTTTCCCAGGGCAACCACGACGAACAGAAATGAACTGTGTGGCCACAAGTTTATTCGGAGGCTGCAAGTCCCAGCAGTGCTGGTTCCTTCTGGAGGATCTGAGGGGGCTCTGTCCCAGGCCTCTAACCAGCTTCTGGAGGTGGCTGGCGGCCTGGGGCTCTGGGCTTGCGGAGCATAGCTCCAATGCTCCCTGCCCCCGTCGCCACCCGGCCATCCTCCCTCTGCGCCTGTCTCCCCAGCCTCCTGTCCCTTCTCTTCCCTGACACCGGTCACTGCATTAGAGGCCCTCCTGAATCCAGCAGGACCTCCCTCAAGCCCCTGAACTCAGTGACATCTGCAAAGACCCTCCTTCCAAAACAGGTCATATTCACATGTACCAGGGGTCAGGACTTTGGGAGGCACAGTTCCTCCCACTGTGATGAGCCCACAGCCCCTGCCTGGCACCTGGCTCCTGGTCTCAGCCTGTCTTGCCGGCTGCCCGGGCGTTTGTTCCTACTTGCTGGGCTGAGGGGCACATGTGTGGGGAACCCCTCTCCCACCTGCTACCAACCCCTCATTCCAGGCTCAGAACAAACAAAACCACCTTGCTAAAAAGCAGACCGCCTGGTGGAACTGGCTGTCAAAGGGAGAGCCCAGCGTCTCGCTGTGTCGGGGGCAGGCGGGCACTTCACGACTTGGGACCAGGGCACACCCGCAACGCTGGGTGGCTGGCCCAGCCTCCGCGTGGCTGCTGCTTACCGCCTCCTGGTCGTAGAAGGCCTTCAGGCGCTCCCGCCACTTCCTCCTGCGCTGCAGCAGCCCGTTTCTGGAGGTGGGCAGGCACAGGAAGCACACCCAGTTGCTCATGGCGTGGACTTTCTCCGAGGTCCCCGGGCCCACCAGCACGTCCAGGCACTCAAAGCAGTAGCACCTCGAGTCAGACAGAAACCCACAGTGACTGAGATGACATTGCTTTGGCCACCCACTGAAACCATGGGTCGATGTCCCTACTGGCATGGCTCGGCGGGTTCGGCATTGTCCCGAAAAGCAGAAGGTGCCCAGTTTAGTTCCTGGTTCAGGCTGATTCCCAGTTCAGGGCACATGCCTGGGTGTGGGCCAGGTCCCCAGGTGGGGGCGTGCGAGAGGCAACTGATGTTTCTCTCGCACATGGATGTTTCTCTCTCTTTCTCCCTATCTTCCCTCCTAAAGATAAATAAAATTGAAAGAAAGAAAGAGAGGGAGGAAGGGAAACCACGGTCTCCTCCAGGCAGACAGCCTGCTCCCTTCTTTGGAGTGCGCTATGGGAAAGCGAGACTGGGGACCTGGGGGAGGACCAGTTCCTCTTAGGGACCCAAATGGACAAGAACCAAGCCATCTGCAAAAGACAGCTAGCTGTTTATGGGCAGCGAGAGATTTCAAAGATCCCCCTAAGCCACCGGTCTTCCCCCAACTCAAGAGCCCATGGAAATAGTTAAGGCTCCAGCACCAGCTGGGGTGGGGGGCAGATGGTGGAGGGGGCAGCTGGAAATGCAAGGACGGCCTGGGAGGACGGAAGGGGAGGGGGCCGTGCACAGTGCTCAGGCTGGCATGGAAGGAGGAATGAACTTGCCCCTGCCTGCCTGCCTGCCCCTTTCCCCCACTGTGACTGGCAGCTGTGGCTGGGTGCAAGGTCCCAGCACTGCCCTGTGCAATGCCCGGGGAGCACCTCCGTCTCAGCGATGCAATGATGAAAAGCAACGACTGGAAACCAGATCCTTTGACATCCTACCTTCTGTATGTCAAGGCTCTCCACCAGATGAACCATTTGAGATGAAAATAAAAAGCTTTGGAGAAAGTCATCTTTTTAAGGGCAAAATGCCCCCCCCCCACTCTGGGGTAAGTGGCTGAGAAGGGTGGAAATTTCCTAGGCTCTTGGGCCCTCAGCCCTGCCCCACCGGGCGCCCTGTGCCTCACCGGGTGCAGTCGGGGTTTTCGCAGATGAGCAGAGTCTCTCCAGAGCAGCAGATGGAGCAGTAGGACTGGTACCCGTCGTCATCATACAGGAAGAGGCAGTCCAGGAACTTGTTCTAGGAGAGGGGCAGACTGGGCCACTGCCCCCTCTGCTCCCACAGAGGCCCCCAAAGCCGCCCCTCAGCTCCCTGCTTACCTTGCACGGGGAGCACATCCCTCCCGCGAACAGGGGGTGCTGCGTGTGCACCTGGAGGCTCCCGCAGCAGATGCACAGGTCTAAGGGGGGCAGCCAAAGGGCAACGCGTGTCACCGCACCATCAAACAGAGCGACAGACTGGGAAGCAAACTTAGCAGAAGTGTGAAACCACACACCCTTGGCGAAAGATCTAAATGAATGGGAATGTGTCCCATGTTCATGGACCAGACACTGAGTATCGTCAAAACGACGTGCCTCCGAGACTGGCGCATGCAGTCCACTCAAAATCCCCGCTGGCTGGTGTGTGTGCGCGTGTGCATGCATGTGCGTGTACAGAAATGGATACAGCTGACCTGAAAATGCACATGGAAACGCAAGGAATCAAGAATAGGCAAACCCACAGAGAAAACAAGTAGATTTGTGGTGGTCTGACGTTCACGGGGAGGGGCTGATAATGAATGAATGGGGAATGACCTGGGAATGGGTTTTTGGGGGGGTGATGAAAATGTCCTAAATTAAATTGCAGTGATGGTGAAAAGCACTGAACGACACTGCACCAAACACCCTAAATAAAGCCGTGGGGGCTTGCTCGGCAGATGGGTTGAGCAGTGGCTGACCAGCTCCGTTAGCTGCCCCCTTCCTGGGTGGACCCCAGCTGGCCTTTCCAGAGCTTGATGACATTGTCCTTCACCTGGGTGGGGGCTCACCTTCTATGGCTCGTTGGTTAACCTTGACTTCATATGCAATCTGATCTGGAAAAGAAAGTTAAGAAGTGAACCCTTCTGTCCACCTGTAATTTAAACAAGAAGTGAGTACCACAAGCCGATCTTCTGAAGTCATAGGAGCCAGAAGATCCTGCCCCGTCCACCCCCTGCCCTCCCCTGGCCAGCTCCTGCCTTCCCCCTTTCCTGAAATGTTAAACATCCAAGCTCCCAGGTGGAGGAAGCCTCTGTCCAAGCATCTGAGTTCTGTGTGAACACTCCGGAGACCTAGAGGCTGCCCAGACCTGTGATGGGCACCCTAAGCGAGGGGCCTAGCCCAGCACCCAGATGAGCCTCACCTCTTTGGGGCCCAGGTGCAGGGGAGGACGACAGCTCGCTGGACCCCACCAGGATGACGTCCTTGCTGCACTCGGCCTCTGGGTCCAGGACTGGGGCAGCTGCCATGTGGACACCACCCAGGAGACGGGACGCACACAAGCAGAGGGAGAAAAATGGCCCCTCAGCTTCTGCCTTTGACCCCCTTCCCCCGGGTGTAGGGGACAGAGAGGACTGCCTAGCTCAGCCCCCCCGCCCACCTTCCATAGCTACACCTGGCCCTCCCAACTGGGTAGGAAGGTCCGGTCGACTGGTGGTGAAACAATGCCAGCTTTGAGATGGCTTTGTGTCAGGAGGGCTCTCCTCACCTAGGCCAAGGTCAGGTGGTCTTCTTTCCACAAAAGGGAAGGCAGGGGGCCCAGGAGGGGACTCCCAGGGGGTGTGGGTTCCAGGAGCTGAGGTCTGCTGCAGTGCCAGCCTCTGGCCTCCATTCACATCCACCAGCTGCTGTGGGCCCCTCTGCCACCCCCACGCTCTGGCCTCCCACAGTGTCCCCCAGACCCGCTGGACCCGCAACACAGAAGGACGGGGAGAAGGAGAAAGGGCCGTACCGAGTTCGCAGGGCGGCTGGTCCCCGGGTGTCTGCCACAGCCCCTCTCCCAGCTGCTCAGCTGGGTGAGGGTCCAAGCTGTCCAGGAAATCCAGTCTCAGGGTCTTGGGGCTATAGACGGCCATGGAACCAGGGGATGCGCACCCCAGAAAGCAGCAGGAAGAAAGTCAGGTGGGAGGGCGGACGCCACCGGGGGTGGGCGGCTGAGGAGCACTGGCGGAAGGCGGCAGAGTCCCTGTGGCGATCAGGGACAGGGCAGGCAAGCTTCTGTGTGAAGGGGCGTTGAGTGGAAGGCTGAGGAGCTCATGCGTCCGCTCCTGTGAGTGGGGAGATAGAAGGTTCAGGAACCGGGGGAGGGGCAGAAAAGGTTGGGTGGGGTTAAGGATGCAGTGGGAGGGTGCAGGTTTGGGGGACTGGGTGAGGGAGTTCAGTAAAGGGTGCTAAGTGAAGAATGGAATTAGGATGGGGGCCTCAGGGCAGAAGGAGCTCAGAAGGGGGAGGGGCGAGGCACTCGGGGGCGGAGCTTAGGGGGTCTCAGTGCTCTGGGCGTGGGTGGGTGGGCAGGGCCCCTGGAGGAGGAGGAGGGGGGAGGAGGGGCAGGGTAGGACAGTTCCCAGGGGGCTTACGAGTTGGGTGGTGTCCTAGGTGGAGGTAGTGGTGGAGGGGGTGGAGGTGAGGGGTGAGGGAAAAGGTGAAAGGAGGCAGTTACTGTGGCGGGAAGGGCCAGAGACACTTCATGGGGGGCTGTGTCGGGAGAGGTTGAGGGACTCTGAGCAGGGGCTGGGAGCAGGAAGCGGAGGACCACGTGGCAGGGGCTGTACTGCCGGGACAGATACGGTACTGGGCAAAGTTGGAGGAGACACTAGGGGCATAACTTTCTCCCCACGTGGGTGTAGGCTGGGCCTGGTGACTTCCCGGTGAAAAGTGTAGTGTGTGCTGGGGGAGCGACCACAGGGGAGACCCCCGGCAAACACCTCAACCGAGCTTTCAAGGTCAACCCCAACAGTGCTGTGAGGTTCTTGGTAACTCTACATAGCTTTGCAAATTTTCTGTAAATATAAAACTATTCTAAAATCTTTTTTTACTATATACAGCATTATTAAGTACAGTCGACATGCTGCACATTACCAATTTTGCCTACTCCCCCACCCCTACTCCCTTGGCAACCGCCTAACTGTTCTCTGTATCTAATGAGGTCAGGGTGTGTTTTTTTAAGATTCCACATATAAGTGAGATCACATGGTATTTCTTTCTCTGTCTGACTTATTTCACTTAGCATAATGCCCTCAAGGTCTATCCATGTTGCAGATGGCAAGATTTCCTTCTTTTTATGGCTGAACAATAGTCCAGTGTGTGTGTGTATAAAATAGTTTCCTTGTGCAGTCATTTATCTCTGGACACTTACATTGTGTCCATCTCTTGGCTACTGTAAATAATGCTGCAGTGAGTGTGGGAGTACAGATATCTTTTCTAGTTTTGGTTTTTATTTTCTTTGGATAAATACCCAGAAGTGGAATTGCTGGATCATAGGGTAATTCTATTTTTAACTTTTTGAGGAATTCCCATACCATTTTCCACAGTGGCTCTCCCAATTTAGATTCCAGGCTACAGTGCACAAGGGTTCCCTTTTCCCCACATTCTTGCCAACACTCATTTCCTGACTTTCTAGAAGCAGCCATTCTGACCAGGGCGAGGTGGTATCTCACTGTGGCTTTGATTTGCATTTCTCTGACGATTAGTGATGTTGAGCATCTTTTTATATGCCTGTTGGCTATCTCTATGTCTTCTTTGGAAAAACATCTATTTACATTTTCTGCCTATTTTTTCAAATTGGGGTTTTTTTGTTTGTTTTTCTGGGTTCTTTGTGTTTTTGAGAGTTAGCCTCTTCTTACCAGATACATCACTTGTAAATGCCACCTGTCCCTCGGTAGGTTGTCTCTTCGTTCTGTTGATTTCCTTTGCTGGGCAGAAGTGTTTCGGTTTGATGTAGTCCCCCTTATTTTATTTTTGCTTTTCTTGCTTTTGTTTTTGCCCTTGGTGTCATGTCCAGCAATGGCATTGCTAAGTCCATGTTTCCTTCTAGGAGTTTCATGAGTCCAGGTCTTGTGTTGGCGTGTTGAATCCCTTTTGAGTTCATTGTTGTGCGTGGTGTAAGACAAGGATCTGGTTTCATTCTTTTGTGTGTGGCTGTCCAATTTTCCCACCGCCATTTACTGAAGAGACTTTTCTGTCCCCACTGTGTGTTCCTGCCTCCTTCGTGACCACTGACGTGTCCATTCGTTTCTGGGCTCTTTGTTGTATCCCACGGATCTGTGTCTGTTTTGGTGCCGGTTCTGCGCCGCTGTAACTACCTCAGCTTTGCCACGGATGTAGTTCAAAATGAGGGAGTAGGACGCCCCCGGCTCTGTTCTTTCTGAAGATTGCTTTGCCTATTTAGGGTTTTTGTGGTTCCATTCAAATTTTAGGATTGTTTTCCATTTCCATGAAAAAGGTTATTGCAATTTTGATAGGGATTGAACCGTTTTGGATAGGATGGATGGTGATAACAATATTTATTCTTTTAATCGAGAGCATGGAATGTTTAGAATATCCATTCTAAATATGTACTCTAAAAGAATAATTTGTTATTCTTTTTTTCTAAGTGGAGGGAAGAGATTTTTGTTTGTAAGAGTGTAATTGTGCCAGACTGAGAACGTGCGCCAGGGAGCAATGTCTCCAATGTACCAGAGAATAAGCTTTGCGGTTTTCTCTTTTTAATCAACTATTTATTTATTTATTTTAAAAAATTTCTAAATTTTCCTTTTTTTTATTGTTGTTCAAGCACAGCTGTCTCCATTCTCCCTCCACCACTCCCTCCCGCCCCTCCCACCCTCGCCCCTGCCCCCCCTTTAGCTTTGTCCACGGGTCCTTTATACATGTTCCGTGACCACCCTCCCTCCCCTTCCCCTCCACAATACCCCGCCACACCTCCCCTCTGGTTACTGTTCGTTTGTTCTTCATTTTAATGTTTCTGGTTGTATTTTCATCTCTAAATTTTTCAGTAAGAGTTGACAGGCGGTACTGTATTAGTGTCAGGTAGACACCCAGTGACGAGGCTTCACATGACCTACTAAGCGGCCATCCTAATGTATCTCACGCCCATCTGACACCACATAAAGTTATTAGAGTGTTATTAACTGTGTGCCCTGTGCTGTGCTCTCCATCCCAGCGCTGGAGGCAGCGAGACAGGCAGGAGCAGAGCCAGGGTGACAGGCCAGGTGCAGGAGGTCACCTGGGTGGAACCCCTGAGGTGCCTAGCGAGAGCCAAACTGGGAAAACCAGGACCTCACCCCTAGGGTGACCTTTTCGCCCCCTAGCATATCGCCAGCCATGCGGTTTGGACTTTCTGATCTTTCATATCACTGGTCATGTGGTTTCAATCTCCTCCTGACCTTTCCTCCCTGGGAAATAGCATCCAGGCCTCAGCCGGGATTCACCTCCAGGGCTGGAAAAGCAACAAAACCAGGCAGGCGACACCGTGGCTGCCTCAGGACCAGCTGCAGTGACTAATGACTCCCCTGCCCTGCCACCAACCAATCAGTGGAGACCACAACCCTGGAATAGCACACCTGGAAAGCTGATAAACATCCTATTGAGATCCTTCCTTAAGATTCCTGCTTGCAAGAGAGAGATAAACCCTCAGGACAAAGGACTCAGCACATGCCCCGCCTCCCCGGAGCCTGTCCGTGCCTCTCCCCTTCCCCTGTTCTCCCCCCCCCCTCCGAAACTCTAAGGGTCCCCAGGAGTTTTGCAACCAGGGGAGCAGCAGCCAGCAGCAGCTCATCTAGGGCTTAACCCCCTGATCCTGTCTCCAGGGCCTCTTTTAGTTTGACTTCTCAGGGAGCTAAGGCAGCCCTGCCTGGGCTCTCCCGGTTGCTTCTTCTGTGCTAAGCCCTCCCCTGTGTCACTGTCCCAGCTTTGATGAACGCCCATCTCAGAGTGCTTTTGCTGCGGCCGGTGAATTCTGGTTTGCTTTACTGCATTTTTTTCTTGATGGAAATCTTTCCTTCAAGAAGAAAAGAACCAAGGTCCTGGCATCTCTCTGGAACCCTGTGACTGTCCAGTAACTACCAATCTGCACTTCCTAATCCCAGCACCTATTCCACCCATTTCCCCCCCAGCCCCCTCCCATCAGGCAACTGTCAGAATGTCCTCTGTACCTGTGAGTCTGTTTCTGTTCTGCTTGTTCACTTATTTTGTCTTTCAGAGTCAATCGTTGACAGGTAGGTATTTATTGTCATTTTACTGTCCATCTTTTTAATCTTTTTTTTTTAAAACAAGAAGTTTATTTAAACAACAAGACGCTTGACTGAAAGAAAAAACTATCTAGGATTAATTTTTTTTAGAGTAATTTACCCGTACCTAAAAACAAATTGTCCTATGTGTAACAGCTACATACAAAAAAGTTATAAAATTGTCCTTGGTTTTACAATGATAAATGAAAACTATTAAAAATCTCCAATCAAACAAGGTATGCAAAGATTTTTATGTTGTTCTTTTTTTTTTAAACAGGGAGAGCAAGATAACTTACTGAAATATAAAGGTGAGAGCTGAATGAGCACGCCACTAACGGAGAAAGCGGGTATCTTCACAGAACCGGTACTTTCCCCACCCCTTCTCCGCGTGATGTCAATCCAAACATACCATTGGCTGTGTCGTTAAAAAATGCAAATGCTTGTTCATGTACAGCAGTTACTTTACATATGATAAGGAAATAGGGAAAGGGAAAATGAAAGAATGGAGACAGAACTACACTGCAGGGCCCTGGCCCAGCCTCGGCAGGTCTCAGGGTCCCGGAAGGATGGATGGTGTGGTCGACGAATGAAGAGTCAGACACCCGGTTGGATGCTGGGGAACAGCCAGCTTCTGTGGGTCTGACTGAACTCGCAGAGTGTGATTTAAGCTTTATTTTCATAGAGATTGTTGCATAACATTAAAGGAACAGGTGCATGGCATGATCAGTTAAGCAGAAAAAATCAATATAGAGATAGTTGGGAAAAGTACAGGAAATTCCACAGATTCAGTTATACTAAACAAAGGTTATTTTGACCAGGAGAGTCATTAATAAGATAATTAGAAATAGCTGTATGTACAGAGTTTTAAATGTTTTATTGATGAATGATGTTTATTAAAGTTCTTAGAATTTGGCATGGGTCAAAAGGCTATGCTAGACTGAACAGTGGTTATAGGAAATTTATTACAAGGCCTTTGTGGTGTCTAACTTAGCTATATATCTTTCTGTCTAAAATGTTTCTTTATGTGTGGGGGCAACTTTTCCCGCAAGTCCCCCTGTCCACCACGGATGAAAGTAAACATTACCAAGACATGATCTGCTTGGGGAGGAGAGGTGGCCATTTTCTCTGGGGAAAAAGAAGACCTTGAGCCCCTTCCTCTAAGGTCTTTTATTGGATTGTAATACACAGGAATACAGGGCAGCAAGGATCAAACAGTAGATAACACTTCAAAGAAATCGGAGGGCTTAGTCTGAGTCAGAGTCTGTCAGGAAGGGGGTTTTGCAGAAACTTTAGGGTTTCCTGCTTGGACCCTTAACATATGAATGAAAGCACTGTTAGCAGAGCAGATTTTACAGGTTTATCAGGAAGTCTTTGTGATGCCAGATTTTTTCCCCAGGACACGCTCTAGCAAGGCAAGGAGCTGCACCTCTCCCCAACTGGTATTCAGCCTCAAGGGGATTAGAGCCAGGAAGCGCTTCTCCCAGAAGACTTGGGGACTCGGGCTATGTCACATAGCCGGGGGCGGGCGGGGGCGGGGGCAAAGGTCCATTGCTTGCTCTTTGTTGCAGCCCCCCCAAGTCCTTCCATGATGGCCTCCCAAGTGATTGAGTCTGGTTTAGGTTGCCCCCTGCTGTGAGGGGTCTTGCCCATCATGGACTTCTGACCAAGCTTTGGGGGGAGGGAGGAAACTGAGGCAGTGTTTGCTAGCAGAGACAAGCTTTGTCTCCTGTGGCTCCCATTCTGGAGGTCACTCGCTTATCCTTAGCCATGGTGGGTAGTTACAATTCCTGAAACCAGGCAGAGCGGTCTACAACATTTATGTACTTAGGACTCTAACTCAGTAATTGTTTCTACATGCTTCATTTGTAATAGTTAACTAGCTTCTTCTGCTTCTTTATGTGTCTAATTCCATTAATATATATTCTTGTCCAAGGTAGAAGAGGGGCTATTACTCCATCAACGTTTAGACATTCAGGGGCTACCCCATTAGGGGGGACTTTTGTTCTGTGGCCAAGAAATCATTCTGTACAACCTTATTGGAATTCTGAAATACAGGTGTCTAAAAATCCCACCACCCATTAATCTCAAAGACAGACATGCAGGGAGAGACAGGCAGGAAGTCCAGCCATAGTCGCCTCTGCTGTGCAGATGCATCTCGTCCGTCCCCACGGTGTCAAGGGACGGCTGCTGGTCGGCTCCCGACACTGCAGTGGTCAGGAGGTGGCAGAACCAAATCGCAGTTTTCTGGTTGCGGATGTCTTCTCGGTCTGGAGGAGCAGCGCTCTGGAGGAAGGTGGCAGGTCCCCTGTTCAGTAGCCACCGCCTGTCTGCTGCCGGAACACGTCAGCTGCACCCTCCCTTCCCCACTGTGCAGATGTGTCTGTTTCATTGATTGGCTGCCCCTTGAATGGGCATCCGACCTGCCTCACTGGCAAACCCTGTCGTTCATCGTAGGCTTTCACTAGTTTACTGAGAGGTGTGTGCCTCTTAATCTTCATCTGCACCACAGAACCATCCTGCCCCGCCACCTTCAAATTAGCATGGTTGTTGCTCTCAGTCTTGACTCCTTCCCTGGGCTTTTCATCAGCCAAGGTGAGAGCCCCAGTCTCTTCAGCTGCTGTTTCACAAAGGGGGTATCGGGGTGCAGGGGAGGAGCACACAAGCAACGCTAGGAGCCGCTTCTTCTTAAAGAAGACCCTTTAACATTTCGTATAATACTGGTTTGATGGTGATGAACTTCTCTAGCTTTTTCTTGTCGGGGAAGATCTTCATCTGTCCTTTGATACTAAATGATGGGCAGAGTAATCTTAGTTGCCTGTCCTTGCCTTTCATGACCTTCAGCTATTTCTTGCCAAACCCTTCTAGCCTGCAAAGCTGTTGAGAAATCAGCTGACAGTTTTATGGGAGCGCTCTTGTAGGTAACTTGCTGATTTTAACGTTCTCTGTGTTTGTCTCTAACCTTTTGTGTTCTAATTGTAATGTGTCTTGGTATGGGCCTCTTTGGGTTCATCTTGTTTGGGTCTCTCTGTGTTTCCTGGACCTGTATGTCTATTTCCTTCACTAGGTTAGGGAAGTTTTTTCTGTTATTATTTGTTTCAAATAGGTTTGCAAATTCTTGCGCTCTCTCTCTCTCCTTCCAGCACCCTCATGATGTGAATGTTGGTATATTTGAAATTATCCCAGAGCCTTCTCATTTTTTATGGATGCTTTTTCTTTTTGCTGTACTCACTGGCTGTTTTTTGATTCCTTATCATCCAAAAGCTGATTTGATTCTTGGCTTCATCTATGCCACTGGTGGTTCCCTTTAATGTGTTCCTCATTTCAGTTAGTCCGTTGCTTCATTTCTGACTGGTCCCTTCTTCTGCATTTAGGTTCTCACTAAGGTCCTCGAGCATCCTGATAACCAGTGTTCTGAACTTGGCCCCCAGTAGCTTGCTTGTCTCTGTTTTGTTCGGCTCTTTCCTGGAGTTTCGTTCTGTTCTTTCATTTGGGACTCGCTTCTTTGTCTCCCCCTTTTGGTGACCACCCTGTGTTTGTGTCTGTGTATTAGGCAGAGCTGCTATGTCTCCCAGACCTGGAAGAGTGGCCTCATGTAGTAGGTGTCCTGTAGGGTCCAGTGGCAGCCTCCCCTATCACCCAAGCTGGGTATCTGAGGTGCACCCACAGTGTGGGTTGAGTACACCCTCCTTTTGTAGTTGAGCCTTAATTGCTGGTGGCACATCAATGGGAGGGATTTACCCAGGCTGATCAGCTGCAAGGATGGGCTGAGACTACTGTCCACTGACCTCTGGCCACCATGGAGGATCAGCTGTGTAGGGCCCCACCCCAAAGAGCAGGACTTACTTCAGTGGAGCCCTGGTGCCCACCGAGCCCACCCCTTGAGTGCGTCATTTGCAGAGGGGGTGAGTGGTAACACCTCCATGTGGTCTGAAGCTGTCCACTGGGTGAGCTGTCTCTGGGGCCTTCCAGGAGGTGGGGGCAGGGGGAGGCACTGGTGGTCTGCAAACAGGCCTCAGAGGAGCTGACCTCCTGAGGACCAGCTCAATTCCCAGGGCCACCTGCAGAGTCAGGTCCTCAGGTACTCAGACAGCTTTGCTGGCCGCTGGTGTGGGGCCCAGGTGGACTTTGGGCCGCCTGTCCTCACTGCAAGCCCTAAGATCACACATGGGAGAGTCTTGGTGGGGAGCACAGGTCGAGACCTAACACTGCTTCTCCACCTCCACAGAGCCTGCTGCTGTGCTGAGCCCTCTCCACCTGCCCTGGCCTGAAGCCCAGAAACGCCCACGCCCTGAGAGGGTGGTGCCCCTGCCTTCCTATGGCCAGGGCATCCGCGGGGCTGGTGTGGGAGCTGTTAGGACCCGCTAACACTCCCTGCCAAGCCCACACCCCCTCCGAGTGACGGTGGGCATGTGATTAAGTACCTCCTGGCCTGGTGGGGTGACCCACAGCTCGATCCCAGCTGGGTTCAGAAGCTGGTGGAAGCCTAGCTAGGTCTGAATGTGACCATGTACAGCCAGGGCTCCAACCAGCTTGACCTGCCAGGGTCACACTTGTGTCCTCCTTACCTCAGCCCTCATGCTGTTCTTTGCATTTCTGGAGGGACCCTGGGTCACACACCAGGTGCTACAGAGGATTTTCCAGCAAGTGAGGCAGAGGGGAGCTAGGTAGCTGGTGCCCCAGCCAGAGCACATGTTGGCCAAGGGGACAATAGGGGGCAGCGCCCTGAGAAGGCGGCAGGCAGGCCTGGGTGTGCTGTAGCAGCAACCAACCCAGGCTCAGAGGTCCCAGGGCCCCCCTGGAGCACAAAGACTGATGGGACTCTACCCTCCTCCATCCGGGATGTGAGGCCACTGCAAGGGAAGGGAGCATGGTGACCCCTCCATGTTTCAGTGGTCAAGTCACCTGACCACCTAGTGAGAGGGAGGGGGGAGTTGTGATATTTTCTGTTGTTCCCTGGGTTTTTGACCTAAAAGAGAGGTAAACTGAGGCAAGCTCAGCAAGAGGAATTTACTCAAGAAGGGCAGAGGGAAGAGCAAGTTTCAGGCAAGGCCACTGAGGGTTTGGGGTGCGCTGCCGCGTCTGTGGGCATGGGGTGTAAGGACGGGAGAGTTGGTTGGAGCCAGTTAAAATTAAAAACACAAAGACCAGCCTGGAAAACTTCCCGTCAGACAGACTGACGCAGTCAAGGAAACAGATGCAGCCCAGCCCAGATCCCCCTGAGTCATCTCCCATCCACGCCTCTGGCAACTCTTCCCAATGTTGATATCAGGTGCCTCTGCCCAACCCCTTTCCCCAACATCCAAGAAAATTCCAGCACTATCAGTGGTTTGCAAATCAGGCATTTACGGGAAGTCTGGCTCCTCGTCCTTAGTTTTGTCTTTCCGAGATTCTCCATTTGTATCCTCTGGGTCTATTTCGGATTGGAGTTCTTTCCTAGGTGAATGAATGAATAAACGAACAAACGAACATTCATTCTTCTCCTAAAGACAAAGCTGTTGGAGTGAAAGTGGAACTAACCCTTGCGCTGGTCCTGACCCAGACAGGGCCATGGAGTGACCTGCTGGTCACTCAGGACCACCTCTGGCTCTTGTCCTTCTGTCTGCCGCCTCACCCCCCACCCCCCAAACACACCCAGCCTGCTCTCCTGAACATCAATGCTTTCAATATGGAGAGAGGAGGCAGTCCCTGACATCGGGGTGTGCGTGTGCTCCCGGGGGGATGTCAACAACCTAACAGAGCTGGCCTCAGACAAAACTCCTCTGTCACCCGGACAATGCGAGTGGAAAACGATTAGACCCCTCCAGGCCCTGCGAGCACCAATACAAGGGCAGGTGCCGCCACAGAAATGGCCAGACAGCTCCCTCTCCTGGCCAAAATGGGCAACTGCCTCATCATCCCTGAAGACTGGAGCCCCAGGACAGTGCCTCTTCCCAACAGCACCCAAGTCATAGCTGATGCAGGGGAGCCTTGGGGACAGGGCTGCTGTTTGGACATGTGAGTTCAAGACGTCATCACTGCATTAAGGTCTCCAAGAACAGCAATGACGCATCTACTTACCGTATTTAACCTGCTGTCTCCCAGGCCCACTGACTCAGATTCTCTCTGTGGCAGGCTTATAAGCATTCATTTTGACACTGTGCTTCTGAAAGGCCAGCTGGATTTGTGCACAGGTTGCACATTTCAATATTCAAAGTTACAAGGTCAACAGTGACTTGGTGTTGCGTCCCAGCCCCTGTTACCGTGGGGACGTGAGGTCAAACTTTTATGAAAATCAAATCTCTCTTCTCTGTTTCTTTTTAAACTCTTTGGTGTTTGTCCCAGTGCTGACTGGGCCACAGTGGGTGGCAGGCGGGTGCCCTCCTGGTGCCCGGATGGCCACCCCCTCAGCTCCGGGTGAGGGCCCTGGCTGTGGGGAGGCCACGGGGGGCAGAGGCTGGCCGGGAAAGCTCCAGGCTTGGCACTGGCTCGACAGAGGAAGGGCGTGGAGGGCCTCTGCTCTGTAAGGTCCTCGTACCTTCGTCACACCCCCTGGTGTGAATCCCTGTGGAAACTATAGACTCTGAGTGACAATGGTGTCAGGCGGGTCCGTCTGTTGTAACGTGCACACAGTCACCCTGAACCCCTGCCCGCTTTTTTCCCTGCACAGAAGTCTGTTCGAGGCAGACCACAAAACTAAGTGTAAAACGTTGGTGATAAACACCCTAGCTGGTGCTGCTCAGTGGACTGAGTGCTGGTCTGTGAACTTTGCAAAGGTCTGCTGGTTCAATTCCCAGTCAGGGCACATGCCTGGGTTGTGGGCCAGGTCCCCAGTGGGGAGCACATGAGAGGCAACCACGCATTGACGTTTCTCTCCCTCCCTCCCTTCCCCTCTCTCTAAAAATAAATAAATAATATCTTTTAAAAAATGTTGACGGTAAAGCAACCAGCATGTCCTGTAGAAAGTGGATGGGTAAGAAAACGGTGGCCCACCCAGATGATGGAATGTTATTACTCAGGGCTAAAAAACGAGCCAGGAAGCCATGGAAGGCCAGGGAAGAACCTTAAAGGACAACGACTAAGTGAACAAAGCCGATCTAAAAAGCCCACAAACTGTCCGGTTCACGCGACACAGCATTCTGGGAAAGGCAAATCCATAGAGACAGAGAAAAGGATGGGGGCTGAGGGGAGGGCGGGACAGCCAGGCAGAGCACAGGGTCGTTTGGGCAGTGAAACTACTCTGTGTGACACTGGACTGGTGGATTCGGGTCATCGTACCTTCGTCACACCCCCTGGTGTGAATCCCTGTGGAAACTATAGACTCTGAGTGACAATGGTGTCAGGCGGGTCCGTCTGTTGTAACAGGAGCACCACATGCTGCAGATGCTGATAGTGGGGGAGGCTGTGTGTGCATCTGTGGGGGCAGGGGGTGCATGGGAACTCTCTGCACTTCATTTTAAAAAGAATAAAAATAAAATCTCTTTGGCAAAATTGTGTCTGGGGGCCAGCGTGGGGCCATGCAAGGCCATGGCTCACAGCCCTCCCTCTCCTTCACCAGGTAATTCCCGCTTTGTCCTGGGTCCCCCCACCCCCGGCAAACACACGTGTCAGGAGTTCCCCCAATACTGCTCCCCATCTCAGAGCACCTCTCTGCAGGGGGCGTGCACCTTATGACTTCACTCTCCTGAACCCACTCCATCCCTCGCCCTCACAGGACGTGGCCCCTGAGACGCCACTGAGTGTCTTACTCTCCAGGACACTTTCTGGTGGGCGTCCGCCCGCCCTTCCCCAGTAGCCCTCCGTCTCAGGGGTGGAGCAGCCACGGGAAGGCTTGCCTGTCCCACCTGTGCTCTCTTACTTCAACTTCAGGATTCAAAAGGCATCAACTACCCGCTGTCCTCCGGGTTGACACCTTTGCCAGGCCTTCCCGGGATTCTAGACCTTAAAGTTTCCCTGAAATCCCTGCATGGTGTTGCAAAACAAACAAACAACCACGGGCCAATATACCTTGTGAATGTAGATGCAAAACTCCTTGACAGATTACTAGTTAGTCAAATTCAACAATGTGTGGGAAGAGTGATGCGCCATGACCCAGTGGGGTTTGTTCCAGGGACGCGTGCAAGGCTGGGTCAACATTCAAAAGTCAGTCCATGTCACTGGCCGTATTAAGAGGCTAAAGAAGAAAAAGCATGTGATTTTTCACTGAAAAGCGTCTGACAAAATGCAACCCCCATTAGGATAAAAACTCTCATAAACGTAGGAATAGAAAGGAACTTCCTAAACTTGATAAAGAACATCCACAAAAAACCTACAGCTTCCCCCAAAGATCAGGGACAGGACAAAGATATCCATTCTCACTGCTTTTGTTCAACCATAGTTCCGAAGTTCTCACCACGACAACAAGGCTAGAAAAGGGAACAAGAGGCACATAGATCGGAGAAGAGGACGTGAGATGCTCCTATTCACAGACGGCATGGCTGTCTTTGTACAAAATCGCAGAGATTCCGTGAAACTGGTGGATGGATGGACACAGACATGGACGGAACAGAATCAGGAACCCAGAAATGGATCAGCGAAAACAGACCCAACTGATTTCTTAAATTAACTAATTTCATTGTGGTAAAATACACATGACAAAAATTTCCCATTTTAACGATTTAAAAGTTTAAAATTCAGCAGCAACTGGTACATTGCAAGGCTGTGCAACCCCCCTTTGTTTCCAAAACTTTGTCACCACCCCAGTGGAGACTGCACGCTCACCCAGCAGCCACCCCGCCCCCCAGCCCCCGGAAACCAGTAATGGGCTTCCCGCCTCTATGGAG